AAGCAGGAAGAAGGAAATTATTAGAGCAGAAATAAGTGATATAGAAAACAGTAACAGATACAATCTACCATATATAAAACAGATAAGTGACAAGGATATACTATATAGCACAGGGAATTACACCCGATATCTTGTAATAACTTAAAATGGAATATAACCTGCAATATATACTGAATCATTACGCTGTATACCTGAAACTGGCACAATATAGTAACAACTATACCTCAATTATAAAGAATAGAGAAGTGCAATGAATCCAAAAGCTGGATCATTGAGAAAAAGCTGTGCACAAAAACAGAGAAAAGATGTAAATTACCAATATCAGGAATAAGGGAAAGGATATCAATACAGACTGTACAGACATTTAAAAATATACTAATGGACTATTAACTTTATGCCTAGAAAGTAAACAACTTAAAGTAAGTGTACATATTATCTGAGAGACAGAAATTACCTAAGCTTATTGGAGAAAAAATACAATAGTTGAACACTTTTTATCTATTAAAGAAACTGAATTTGTAATTAAGTCTTTCTTTTAAGAAATCTCCAAGCTCAAATTACTACACTACTGAATTCTAAAAACAAACAAACAAACAAACAAAACAAACAAAAAATACACTTAAGAAATAATATCAAATCTACACAAACTTTTTCAGGAAATAGAAGTGGATGTAACACATTTCAATTCTTCGAGCACTTATGTTTCCTAGGTATTGTTCTAGATGCTGGAGAATTAAATAGGTGAAAATTTGCTCAATGTCCCCCAGAAGCTTACAGTGTAGTGAGATGAAGTTAAGGAAATTCTTCTCCTTTGCTATACCCTTAATTCTCCCTGATTGGTTAAGACAGAGCAAATAAGATTGTTTCACATTATAACAGACAGCTGAGTGTAGAACCCTTCTTTAAAAATCATCAGTGGTGAACTTGGCTTGCTGACTTCCCTTTGTCTATTATTGGGACATAAAAATTGATAGGATGACTAAATGATGTAGAAGTGGAATACATACATTAATTCAAAAGCCCCAGAACTCTACAACTTTGTATTCTCAACCCCAGCCACACTTCTTCTGTGTCATTAAGAATAATATAATATTTAATCTAATGTTTTTGTTAGCCTTACTGTTGAACAAGAGAGGTGACAGCTGTTCAGTTTATTAAACAATTAGTGTCATAAATTATATTTCACCATTATCATATACCCACATGCTCAGAGACACTGATTTTAATCGCACTTTCTATTCCACTACTGCTCAGTTCATAGTGTGTGAAATGAAATAGTCATTTTAACTTATAATGGGCCTTTACTAGAATAAAGGAACACAGTAGTTATCTCTCAATTATATAGAATTCTTCCAGCAAACTCAGGAAAGTGTCACATAATCTACAAGGTAAAGCCCAAACATTAGAGTTATGAGTGAGCTTCTCAGGCCTTTCCTAAAAATTTCTATGTTTCATCAAATTAGAAGAAACAAATTAATGGAAAAAACAAAACCTAGCAAAAGTGAAGACTGAAAGGGAATTGCTTTTAAAGGCAAGCCCATTGATAGCATGACAAATGATAGCTGACAACAAGGAGAGTAAGAGACAAACTATAAAAAGCATGTTCAAGAATCTAAAGTCTTTTGGTGAAGAGACAAACACTTCTACACAATTGTTAAAGCATCGTTTAATAAATCATGTTTATGGTGAGGACCCATTATAAATTGTCTCATAAAAGATAGTTTGTTATTAACTTTTCATACCATTTAAAAACTCAGGAGAGTGTATATTGTGTTTAAGAAATATTTCCATCTAAAATAGTTAAGACTTACGAAAAATAAAGCTTTATTGCTTGAAGAAATGTGTACTTTAGCTTTCTAGAATGACTCATTACCAAAAACATTTCAGAAATGGGAATTATAGTGGTAAATGGAGAACCTTCAAATATCTTTTCACTAAATTATGCAGAAAGAGTAAACGGTATACAATTACACATAAACCATGTATTGGCAAGGTCAAGAAAATTAAAATGCCAAGAAAAATACCTGGAAATATTATTACTAATATCTTTCATTTACCTCCAAATTTTCTAGGCTTTAATTTATTCAAAATCATAATGATTCATATTTTCATTTATAAATGCTCCTGAGGGAAAAATCATTCCATGTTTTTAAAAAAATTCTCAAAAGTTAATATCAGCCCCCAAATATGGGTCTTTGGTAAAGCTTACATATATATATATATATATATTTAATCTGACATGGAACAAAGTTTCTCAAAGTTTAGTATGATCTAAATTTTAAAAATACAATACTAGACTTCCAGTTCTGAGCAAGATGGAGTAAGATCACTACAGTGTATCTCTCCTGCTGATTACAGATGACATCTCTAGATGAAAATTTAAAAGTAACTACCTGAGGACCATGGCATGTAAACAGAAGCAGGTGGATTGGGGAGGGGAGAGTCAGGATATGGAGAAGTGACCATACATGGGTGGATTCTCATATTTTTTCCTTATTTTCTGTTGAGGCTTTTGTCCAAGTATAGCTCCCAGCCAGGGAACTGTAAGAACTAGAAAATGAAAATTTTGGAGCTGAGAAATTAAATATATGAAAAAATTTTAAGTCATCATATGGACTCAATAACAAAATGGTGATGCCAATGAAAATAGTTAATGAACTTTAAGATAAATCATGAGAAATTACTCAATCTAACCAAGAGAGGAAAAAAAGGTAAGAACAGAACCTTAGAATGATATCAAATGGTATTCATGTCATTGAAGTTCCAAAAGGACAGGAAATAGATTGGTGTAGAAAAAATATATTTGAAGAAATAATAGCTGAAAACCATATTGAAAGATAAAAATTTGCAGATTTAAGATCCTTTGAAACAAGTTAAACTCAAAGAAAATCATTCCCAGAGACATTATAATCAAACTGCTAAAAACCAAAGATACAGTGCTAAAAACAGCTGGAGAAAAACAATATATATTGGAAAGCAAAGATTTGAAAATGATAATGGTTTTCTCATAACAAATCATGGAGACCAAAGTCAGTGGAAAAACCACTTTAGAATATGCAAAGAAGTGTAGTCCAAAAACCAATGAATTAAAACACTCCAAAAACATTTTCAAATAATAAAAAAAGAAGTTGGAAAAGGGGAACAGAAGAACAAAAAGTCAGAGTGACAAACAGAAAACACTAATAAAATGGTATGGTTAATCCATCTATATTAGTAATTACATTAAATGTAAGTGATCTAAACACTCTAATTAAAATACGTATTGTAATAATGGATTTTTAAAGCCCATCTGTAAATCAGAAACCTACTTTATATATAAAGACATAAATTAAAGGGAAATGATAGAAAATTGCATACTGTGACAGAGTATTCAAAACAAAGCTGAAGTGTATTTATTAGTTTCAGACAAATTAGAATGTAGAACAAGGATTAGTATGAGCAATAAAGAGGAGGTATTACATAATAAATAAAGTATCAATATACCAAAAAGATGGAACAATGTTTGCTAGTTAGTTTTGTATGTCCCTAACAACCGATCTTCAAAATACACAAAGCAAAACTGATACAATTAAAAATAGAAATGGACAAGTCCACAATTATACTTGGGAACTTTATCATTCCTCTTTCAGTAATTGATAGAACAAGTAGTCAGAAAATCAGTAAGGATATAGATCTGAACAACACTACTAACCAACATTATCTAATTGACATTTTTAGAACTATCTACCCAACAACAGCCAAAATATACATTCATTTCAAGTGTGCATGGAACATTCCTTAAAAGAAGCCATATTCTGTCTGGGCCATAAAACAAACTCCAAAAATTTTAAAACAGTTGAAGTCATAAAAAATATATTCTCTAATCATAAGCACAACTAAACTAGAAATCAATAACAGAGGTATACAGAAAATACTTAAATATTTTAAATTAAACAATAAGGGAAAATTAAAGATATTTTGAACTGAATGACAAGGAAAATATACCTTATGTCACATAGTTTTGTTTTGCATTTCCCTGATAATTAATGATGTTGAGCATCTTTCAAATACCTGTTGACCATTTGTATGTCTTCTACAGATAAATGCTTGTTCAAGCCCTTTGCCCATTTTTAATTGAATAATTAGTTATTTTGCTATTGAGTTTTAGGAGTTATATATATTCTAGAAATTAACCCTTATCAGACATATGGTTTCAAATGTTTTCTTTCTTTCTGTAGGTTGCTGTTTCATTTTGTTGTTTATCCTTTGCTTTGCAGAATACTTTTAGTACGACATAGCTTCACTTGTCTGTTTTTGCTTTTGTTGCCTGTGCTTTTGGTGATATATCTAAGAAATAATTGCCAAGACCAATGTCCAGAGGCTTTTTCCCTATGTTTTCATCTAGGAGTTTTACAGTTTGAAGTTTTATATTTAAGTCTTTAGTCTATTTTGAGTTGATTTTTTGGTGTTTGATGTTCACACTTGTTAAAAAAAAAGATAACAAGTGTTGGCAAGGCTGTGGAGAAATTGGAACCCCTGTACATTGGTGGTGGGAATATAAATTAATGTTCAGAAGTTATGGCGAATAGTATGGAGGTTCCTCAAAAAGGTTAAAAATAGAACTACCATATGATTCAGCAACCCCACTTCTGGGTGCAGTCAGCCCTTTGTCTTTGCAGATATGGAACTCACAAATATATGGATACAGAGGGCTGACAGTTATGGGCTTGAACATCCTTGGATTTTGGTATCTGTGGGTGGGTGGGGGGTCTTGGAACCAATTCCCACAGATATAAGGGACAACTATATGCAAAGTATTGAAATCAGGATCTTTAAGAGATATCTGCATGCCCATGTACATTGCAGCATTATTCACAATAGCCACAGTATGGAAATAACCAAGTGTCCATTGACAGATGAATAAAGAAAATGTAATATACACATACACTGGGATATTATTTAGTCTTTAAAGAGAAAGAAATCCTGCTGTTTTCAAAAACATGGATGAACCAGAGGACATTATTCTAAGTGAATTAAACTAGTCACAGGACAAATACCACATGATTGCACTTATATGAGGCATCTAAAATAATCAAGCAGAAGCAGAGAATGCAATGGTGGTTGCCAGGAGTGTGAGGGAAATGAGACGTTGTTATTCAATGGGTATATAGTTTCAGTTATGCTAAATGTATAAGTTCTAGAGATCTGTTGTACAACATAATGCCAATAATTAACAATACAGTATTGTGCACTTCAAAATTTATTAACAGGGTAGATCTCATGTTAAGTGTTCTTACTACAGAACAAACAATGGGACACAAGGATACTCTGGGAGGTGTTGGATATGTTGATTACTTTGATTATGGTGATGGTATCACTGGTTTTTGCATAAGGCCAACTCATCAAAATGTAGAAATTAAATATGTGCAGCTCTTTGTATATCAGTTACACCTCAATAAGGCTGTTAAAAAATACAGCCTATCAAAATTTGTAGAATGCAACTAACACAGTACTTAGAAGTAAATTTATAGCATTAATTGCTTATATTTGGAAAAGAAGAAAGGTCAAAGATCAATAATCTAAGTTCCCATCTAAAGAAACTAGAAAAAAGAAGAGCAAATTAAGTCCAAATAAAGCAGAGTGAAGGGAATAGTAAAGATAAGAGCAGAAATAAATGTAAATGAAGACAGATAAACAGTAAGCAAACGTCAAAGAAACAATGAAAAGCTAATTATTTTAGAAGATCAATAAAGGTGATAGGCCTCTTGTCAAAATGATCAAGACAAAAGAGAAGTAGCAAATTGCCAATATCTAGAAGGAAAAAGTACATCATAATAGACCCTGTAGACATTAAATGAGTAATAAGGAAAGAGTATAAGAAACTTTACACCTCTAAGTTCATCAGCTTAGATAAAATGGACCAATTCGTTGAAAGATACAAACTGCTCAAACTTAGTATAAAAGAAATAGTATAAAAAAATAAATCGAATAACATAGAAATGTAATGCATAGCTTAAAACTTTCCAACAAAGAAAATTCCATGCTCAGATGGTTTCATTGGTGATTTCTAACAACGATTTGATGAAAAAATGATAATTCTGTGTAATGTCTTCCAGAACATATAAGTAGAAGGAACAGTTCCAAACTCACTACCCTGAACTAAACCACATACAAGAAAAGAAAATCACAGGTAAATATCCTTCATGAATGCGGACTCAAACATTTTCAACAAAATATTTGCAAGTGAAATCAACATATAAAACAAACAATAGACATAGAAAACAAACTTATGGTTACCAGGGGGAAGGAGGTGGGAAGTGATAAATTGGGGGCTTAGATATTTGCAAATACTAACTACTATATATAAAATAGATAAACAGTAAGTTAATACAGTATAGCACAGGGAACTATATCCAATATCTTGTAGTAACCTATAATGAAAAAGTATATGAAAAGAAATAAATGTATGTATATGTATGTCTGAACTATTACACTGTACACCAAAAGTTGACACAACATTGTAAAGTGACTAAACTTCAATTAAAAAAAATACATCACTGTTAAGTGGTGTTCATTCCAGGAACAGAAGGCTGGCTCAACATTTGACAATCAATTGGTATATTTAGCCATATCAAAAGTTTAAAGAACAAAATCTGTACAATTATCTCAGTAGATGCAGGAAAACTCACTTGACAAAGCTCAATATTCATTCATGATGATGATACTGATAGTAGTAATAATGAAAACTCTCAGTTTAATAGAAATAAAAGGGAACTTCTTTAACCTGGTAAAGCATATGAAAAATCTACAGCTGACACAACACTTGATGAAAGACTCAATGCCTTTCCTCTAAAATTGAGAACAAGGAAGGAATGTCCACTCTCACAGCTCTTATTTAAACATTATACCGTAGGTACTAGCCAGGGCAATGAGGCCAGATAAAGAAATAAAAGGCATACATATTGGAAAAGAATAAGCCTTTCTCTGTTTGTGGATGACATAATTGTTTAGAAAATACCAAACAATCAACAAAAAAGCTCCTGGAACCAATAAATGAGTTTAGCGAAGTCAATATACCAAAATCAATTGCATGTTGATATACTAGCAATGAACAATCGGAAAAAAATTTAATTCCAACTCTATTGAGATATAATTTATAAATAAAAATTACATATATTTAAGGTGTACAATGTGATGGTTTCCTATAAATATATTATGAAATGATTAGTGCAATCAAGGTAATTCATATATCCATCACCTCACATAATTCTTTTTTATTTTTGATGTAGTGAGAGCACTTAAGATCTACTCTCTGGGATTT